AGTGGGACAGCTCCCAGCCAGCCCCTGGCTATGCAGGGAAGCCCCACTGAGCATGGGGCTCATCCCCATGTGCACGGGGCAGGGAGAGCTCTGCAGTGGCAGCTGTCTCGCAGCCCTGTGCACAACCAGGACCTCTCCCGATGTGTACAGGGCAAGGAGACAGCTGCTGCTACATACAGCTGGTAGAGCTATCCTGGCCCCATGTGCATGGGGCTCTGTGCTCCCTGCCTGCCCCTAGGCTAGCACCCTGGGGGAGCCTGGAGCTCCCCCTGGCTGCTGCAGGGGGCCAGAGCAGGGTAGAAGTAGATCTCTACTGGGCAGCGCCCATTGGGAGTAAATTTGCTCCCAACAGGGAGCACGATAAACGTGCTCCCAGGGAAGGATTACTATACAGTATTTTATGGTGCAGTAAGCCTTTATAGTATTAACAGCACATGTAGACATGCCCAGTGATCTGTGTTAATACTAATCATTCAGTTCTAAGATTCAAATCCTCATTCCTAAAACTAATTTCATAAACTTCATAGACTTTAGGGCTGGAAGGGACCTCAGAAGATCATCGAGTCCAACCCCCTGCCCCAGGGGCAGGAAGTGAGCTGGGGTCACGTGGAAGAGCTTTAAACTCTCATTTAGAATGCTCAGCTAAGATTTGGTTTTAAGGACCAGATCAGACACTATTTTATGAGAACATGGGAAAGGATATTGGACATTTTCTAGGCAGACAAGGTTCCTTGGGTGAATTTGATATCTTTTATTAGACCAACCCAAATAGCTGGAGAATAGTTATTAAGCAAGCTTTCAGATTCAAAAACCCTTCGTCAGGCTCAGGAAGCTGCAGCAGTTGGTGTGTGCTCTTCCTGGATGGAATGAAAAGTAAAGAAGCCAGGGGCTGGGCTGGGCTGGGGAGTCAGTTGCCAGGCAGATTGTAATGTATCAAAAATCCAATGTCTACGTTTAGTCCCTGATCTCTAGTATCCAGGATGTTGATGAAATGGAGCTCATAGGCTCGTCTCTGGGATGTGTTGTGTAAGTTTCCCTTGAGGATCAGGACTGAGAGATTGGAGAGAGAGTGGCCCCCCTGTGAGAAATGTGCCCCCACCGGTAATTGGGTATTTCTGTCTTTGATGGATTTCTGGTGTGCGTTCATTCTGGTGCGCAGTTGTTGTTTGAACGTCTCTCCTACATATTTTCCATCAGGGCATTTGGTGCATTGGATGAGGTATACTACATTCCTGGAGGTGCAGCTGTAAGATCCTGGGATGCTGATGGCTCTGTTGTGGGGTGTAGTAATTGTGAGGGTGGTGGAGATGTGTTGGCAGGTTTTGCATTTCTTGTCCTGGCACGGTCTGGATCCTTTTGGTGTGTTCTGGGGTTGAGGAAGTTTGCTTCTGGTGATGAGGTTGGCGAGGTTCGGTGCTTGTCTGAAGGCTAGGATGGGTGGCTCTGGGAAGATCTTTTAAGTTAATGGTAGCATTCTGGGTTGGCCTGAGCGTAGCTTGGCCAAAAGGAGGGATTGTGGAAGCCAGTCACCTAAGATGGCTCCGGAGACCATTAACTCTGAGTAAGCTTGTTACGTAGGCACAGAAGTGAGCGGGAAGTATAAGGATAGTGGAAAAGTATTGTGATGTGCCAGCATAAAGATTCCATTTCCTGATTGGCCACATATGGTACCGTTGTTTGTGTGCGCAGGTTGGTTACATTGTTGTATAAAAGTTGGAGCCTGACCACACCCAGGCAGAGTTGCTTCAGCTTCTCTCACTGCTAGCAGTTAATAAACTGAGTGTTCGGATCAAATTTTAGCGTGGCATTTTGTTCCACGACACACCTAAAGATGTCTGGAGGTTTGGATAGGAACTAAGGGGCTGGAGGAGGTTCCTAGGGACCCAGGTCAGGGTATCGGTGAGCACAGAGTGTTGGCATACTGTGGGGCCATTTTAGTGCCCATAGCTGTTCCCATCATCTGGAGGAAGTGTTGATTATTAAAAGTGAAAAAGATCCTCACACACAACAATTTCACTTTAAATAATCAACACTTCCTCCAGATGATGGGAACAGCTATGGGCACTAAAATGGCCCCACAGTATGCCAATGGGAAGCTATAGAGTAGATGATTCCCTTGCTCCTAGTCCCAAAACACCCAGCCCAGGGGAAGAGAAGGGACTCATTGTATAACCAAGCTCCATAGTAATGAAAGACTTAATCATATGCATACTTCCCATAAATCCTACTCAACTGTCCTCTAACAAAACTTCATATATTCTACTGTTTTGGACTCATCCATGACCAGAAGCAGTTGAGGTTGTTTCTGTAACTCAGTCTGATGGCCATGTTCCATAGTTCCGAAATATTCTTCCAGTGGCTGTATGTTTAAACCTCCTAATAATGTACTTGCTTACATGGAAGGATATCTCGGTATCTGTTTTTCTCTCTGTTTTCTGGTGCTTTACCAACTTTGCAGTCATCAAGTGGTTTCATGTGTTCTAGAGCCTAAATCAAAGGAAAATAGTTATGTTATTCTATTTTCTGTCTCCAGAGAAGCTGCAGAGCTGCTGTTAGTAACCACTATCAGTGTATGTAACCCATGGCTAGAAAACAGCATTCTGCCTGCAATGCAATCAGCATACCATGCTCTAGACCAGGGGTTGGCAACCTATGGCCCACAGGCTGGATCCAGCCTGCAAAGATCTGACTCATTCCACATTTTACTAAAGGCATATCAATTTCCCCAGTCATTTGATCTAGTCTTTGTTTTGCTAATGGCACACCTATCACCAGTGTTCCAGCTAGCTGCTCTTCCTTGCTGGAACTTCTGCTCATAGTTGCTGGAGTGGCTGGAGAGGAATGCTGGGCTGGCTGGGTTACAAGCTGCAGCCTGGGTTTGCAAAAGGTTGCCAACCCCTGCTTTAGACTTATCAGGGAATATGAAGACCCAAATCCAAAACACTTGAATTACCCATGAAAAACCAAGGTCCAAAGCATGTTTCACTAATTTGCCATTAAGTTGGTGATGGGAGTGTCAATTCTGGTGTTTGAGACGCATTGTAGCACTGGTAATTAACAGGAACAGTTTGGGGTGTTGCTTGTGTAATCCTGATATAGGATTACACAAACTGTTCCTATTAATTTCTGCTGAATTTCAGTGCTGAATTTCAGTGATCAGGGGTGGGAAAAATGTATATTTGCATATTGAAATGTGCAAGTTAGTGTAAATTACGTGGTTTAAACATAGGTCTGAAGGGATCTAATTCAGCACAATACACGCTAGGGAAGATAGGTGTGTACATCACAGTTGTTTCACAGCTCCTCATATTTAGATGCTTTTCCTGCTCTTCATCTTTTTTTGACCTTTTGGCATGCATTGCACCAGCTTGCATTCCATCATGAATCTTCTCAATGACATGGACATTAAATTGACTCTGGCCCACAGTCTGTAATGTAATGCTTTAGCATGGAAGTAGTCACATCCTGGTAAATTATTACTACAGCCTAACACAGCCAAAATAGATGCTGAGTTTGAATGAAGGATCAGATGCAGAGAGCTCCAATTTTCTTTGGCATCCTTGGTGAGGAGACCTCTGTGATTCATATTACAGTTTTCCCTCAATTTATGCGGTAGATGCATTCCCAGGAAATGGTGCATAAATCCAATTCACATAAAGTGAATCCAGTTTACAATTAAACAGGTAGGGATGCATTCCCGAGGGAGGGAGGGAGGGAGGGAATGGGGCTGGGGCTAGGGAAAGGCAGGGAGAGGAGCGTGGTGCAGCCCAGTGGCTGCAAGCAGGCAGCATCTGCTGTTCCCAGGGCTGTAGCAGGCTCTTCGTGGCGCTTGGGGTGAGTGACAGCCCCACTCACCCCATTTCTCCCCACTCACCCCACTTCAGGGCCAGGCCCCACTCACCCACCCCTGAAGAGCCTGGTGCTGCCACCAGCCTGAGTCTG